GTTCAACATGTAAACACCCAGGGAGTGTTGCTAGTCACATTTTATTCATTTCCATGATGTGGCATTAACCAGAGCTGGGAAGTACGGCCAAGGCTTTTAGATTTCGTCTGGTGTGTGAATTTACAAACTGAATAATAGCGAGGACCACAACTGTTGGAGAAATGGGTATGAAAGTACTGGTAGTGCCTCTTAAAGGTACTTTTCCAAAATAACTTAGCAATAGAGAATTGTTTTGGTACTCTTAATTTTTGTAATAGTTTTTATAAGCAGTGCTATTAGAAATACTGCAGGTAATTTCAGCAATAATTTTTGGTGCACGAGTTTGTAATTAAAAGTCTATTGACGTCAACGGTACTTCCCAGCTTTGGCATTATTTAAAACCAGATGGAGAGTCAATTTCTGTTTATGGTGTTATGTAACTATTTTTCTTCTTGCTTCTTTTTCATCCTATTTGCTTTTAGGAACAAAGGAAATATGTTCTTCTTTGCATTTTCATTTAGAATATGCCCATGATGATTCAAGTAATGCCTAGATTGGAGCAGATAAATGGCCACTGATATGTGTGTGTGTGTGTGAGTATCTGTGTGTGCGTGTGTGTGTGTGTGTGTGTGTGTGTGTGTGTGTGTGTGTGTGTGTGTGTGTGTGTGTGTGTGTGTGTGTGTGTGTGTGTGTGTGTGCATGTGTGTGTGTTTTGATATATGTGAAAATAAGTAACTGACAGCAAATCAGACTTATTATATATTGCTCTCATTAACTTCCAAGTAAGACACACCCTGCTTAGACTATAAGTATATTTTATAGATGACCGTCTATTTGCTGTGATAATTACGCTGCTTGTGTTTAGCATTCGTTTATACTTTCATGACCCATATTGTAGAGATGGTCATTACTGGCCATCCTGAAGGTGGAGATAGTTGCGTATGGAAATCTTTTATCATTCCTGGTCTTGCTCAATTTAACACAAAATTTGACAAGTGAATAAAAGTTAAACAAAAGTTCCTTTTTAGCTGTATTGTTGTAGGGATTTTTTGTTTTGCTTATTAATTTAAAAATTGATTTGCATAACACTGTAGGGGATATGTATTCCCTATCAGTTTCATTGATGGGTGCAAAATGTTTAGTTAAGACAATGAAAATGTGATGTATTGCTGGGGGAAGCATATACCATCCGTTCTGATTTTTGAGGACAACAACCACTGTGTGGATAACAGTACTGCCGAGTGTATGATTATTGTAACCTTTTGCAATTAAGGTTTTAACTTTCATTGACTTCACTTACTTAGTTTGGGATGCCATTGGTTTTTATGTGTGTGCATGTGTGTTTTTTGTTTGTTTGTTTAGAAATATATGTATTTATATGGTCATATAGATATGTATATTAATAAAAACAAATATCTATATCACACACACACACACACACACACACACACACACACACACACACACACACACACACACACACACACACACACACACTCTCTCTCTCTCTCTCTCTCTCTCTCTCTCTCTCTCTCTCTCTCTCTCTCTCTCTCTCTCTCTCTCTCTCTCTTCTCTCTCTCTCTCTCTCTCTCTCTCTCTCCACACTCGCACACTCACACACTCTATCAACATAAATGTTGATGTGTACAGAGATTATCTTTGTGAAGGGAGCAAGGTGTTAGAATTTGAAAATGGTTATCAACATCAGTATTACACATTTGTTATTTTACTGTGTATGTTTTCTGTATGTTTCTCAAGGGATAGAAGGTGTAAACACTTAAACTGTGGTGGTGGCTCAAACAATGCAGCACGGCAAGGGAGGTGACTGCAGAACTTTTTTCCTTCCTTCTTTTCTCCTGACAAAAAGTTTCTTTTGTATAAATGAATGTACACTTGGGATATTGCAATGAATTTGGTTTGGAAAATCCATGTTGTATAAGTATTTATTCATTGAAGGATGTCTTGTTTATGATTTTTTGTTATTTATCATTTTCTTTCTTCTTTTTTTGTTCCTGTGTTTATTTCATGTCAGAAATAGAGAAAGCAGTTCCTGCCAAAAGAATCCAAAAGAAATATTTATCTGCATGGATCCTCTTCCTATGAATCTGTGTCTGATGCTGCTTAAGATGAGATCTTGCATAATGCTGTTTGATTTTGTCATTGTTATTGTTAGATCTCTTAGTCTTGAGTCATTAACTTAGTGATATACATTTTTTTCTAATTGCGATTTGATTTCATTCCCTCTTTTCAGCTGCTGTTGCCTTATTAATGTATTAATGCTTGCCAGATTTATAAAAAAGATACTCTCAGTGTGTGATAATTGTGTGATGACAATTACCTTACGCGCTTTTGTTATTTCTCTGTTGAGGAAATAGTCAGATGAAGGATTTCATAAATGTATCTGCTTTTGCATAACTGTGTAAATTGATCATGAAAATAAAGATTTAAACTCTGACTCATTTATTAATGTCCAGAAGTTTATCTTTGTGGAATTTTCCCAGTTTTATCATGGGAAGATCTGGCTTCCTTCGTTGTGGAGAAATTAAAGTCAAAGTTGGCATTGAAACATTAATTGCAGGAAGGAATTCTCTTTCATATATAACATATACGTCTTAAACATTTGATTCGTCTTGGCTGATTCATTATTTTTTATGGATTGTTGGATATACTGCTGCTGTTGATAATACTGACAGTATAATCATGATAATATTGATCATGACAATGTTAATAATATTAATAATGATAATGATAGCATTAATGGCAGTAAGCATGTTAATGATAATGATGACAATGATAATTATGCTATTGATAATAATGATAGTAATGATAATGATGATCATGCTAATAATGAACATGAAAAGGATGATAGACATTTAAATGCAATAACTCTGATAATAATAATGATGAAAATTAAGAAATGATTACATACTATTAACCATGTAATAATGAGCATGATAGTAATGACTTACAATACTTACAATAATATGATTATGTTAAGGATACTGAAAAGGATAATAATATTGATACTGATTATGGTAATAATAATAACAATAAGAGCATTATGATAGATGATACTTAAAATAAAGAGTAAGTAATAATGATGATGTTTAGTACTGATAATGATGATGATGATTCTGATCAAACAATGAAATCATAAGTAATAATAGGAATGATAATAAAGTTGATGATAACAATAATGAAAATGGCCACTTTGATTATGATTTTATAATTGATAGTGGCTAATAGTAGAAATGTATAAGAATATTGATAATATTATTACTTTTATTCTTTGTGCTGTCACATTCAGTTCTGATGAATTTACCTTTGCCATTACCATTACTTTTAGTAATGTTAATGTATTCAGAATCACATTTGTGTACCAAATAGTTTTTATTATTATTTTTAAAAAATTCCACCACTAGCAGTATTACTGTTACGATCATCATTACCATTATCTTTACGATTATTATTGTCATTATTATAATGATTGTTATAATGTATATTATGTGGATACTGACCTTTCATGCTTATCTCTGAACAGGTGTAATGAATTTGCTATCATTGCATCATTTCTGTTTGATTAATCAAGGAGAGGAATTTTCTGAAAAAGGATACTTCTAGATTAAAATATTTGGAAGAAAATGTGCTACTTTTCAGATTTTTCAACCTGTTTTTCCTCATTTATTTCAGAAATATTGAAGACAGTGAGCCATTTTATGATCCTAGATATCCCAGAAGTAAAGGTAAGGTTATTTTGTTACTTTAGTTATTTTTCATGAATTTTGTGATTTATTTCTAAGATATATCTTTCAATGAAAGTAAATTTCTAATGGGATTTTTCTTTTTCTTCTGATTTTTCTTATTAGGTAAAATTAGTGATAGCTATTAGGGGTTTCTATTTATGCTCTTATCAGCAAAAATTCAAATAGATGATTCCTCTAATTAGCATTATGATACATAATACATAGTGTGAATTATTATTTTGTTACTGATGTCAGCTTTTCCGTGAATTATTGGCCTGTAATTGACCTTGTTGTAATGCAGGGGAAGGCTTCAAGTTGGCAGACTACATGACATCAGGTGAGGGCGAAGACAAGGGGGCTGGAGTGCAGGAGGGGCTGGGGGAGCACAGGCCAACAAGAGGCCGTGTATCCAGGGGGAAGTACAGGGGTCAAGGTCGCTACATTGACCCAGAGCTGAATGGTAGGTTTTCTGTTTCTCTGCATATTTATCCTTATTCATTTCTTACTAAATGTCCTTCCTCCTCTTCTTCTTTTCCCCTTCTTCCTACTCCTTTCCGTCTTTTCCTTATCTGACTTGTCCTTGTCTTTTCTTTTTCCCTGTTTTATCCTCCTCCTTTTCTTCCTTCTTTTTTTCTTCTTCTTCATCTTCCACCTGTTCTTGGTCTTCTTCTTCTTCTCTCTTCCTCCTCCTCCTCCTCCTCCTCCTCCTCCTCCTCCTCCTCCTCCTCCTCCTCCTCCTCCTCCTCCTTCCAGGTTGAAAAAATAACATTACTGTGTATAACAATCATTAATACCGCTTTCTGTTAGCTGGCCATGATATTGATTTCACCCCTTGAACCCCCAGCACAGAAGCATGAGGAGGAAATCATGGCTGAGCTTGACCCCGACGCGGTCTTTGGTCGTAGGCGGATTGAGGGCCATGGGGACTCCTTTACCATCTCTGTCTCCAACACCACTCACAGCTCTGCTGGTGAGAAAGAGCCAGAAGTACTTGGTAATATCTGGATTTTTGGTTTTAGCAAGTAGCTCATTAGTTTTTTGCTTTTCCTCTTGTGCATTTGGATTCAGAGGTGTTTTGAGCTCTGTTATCTGGGTGTTCTGAGACTTTATCAAATGGAGGTGTTCTTTTATGATTATTTCAAAGCAAAGAACAAGGTTTTTCTTTTTTTTAAACTGATTAAAGATAAGTGTAAAGGGATATGACAGTAACACAGCTGTACAAAATTATTTTGGAAATTGCTCTGAATTTCAAAATGAGAGAGTAAGGATTACCTAGAA